AATTAAAAAGCTTATGTTTGGCTTGAACGATGTATTTTTTCTTTATTTAATAAATTCGGTGCGACACGTGTTTCGCCGTTGAGTCATCTACGGGCACGACTGGCGTACAAAACAAAAATAGAGAGATCAGTATAACAATTTAAGTTAATTATCATAAAATTATAAAAAGTTTCTATATTTACCGTCATTGGACAATAGATGTATATAACGAGAGAGTCGACATATGAGAATTCCTTTCCGAATTTAGATGTGAATATTCGTTGTATGCTTAAATTTAGGTTTTTTTGACATAGATTGTTTTGAATTATTGACGTTAAAACTGCAAAATATTAAATTAAACATCTCAAATGAAAGCATTGTTATCTACGCATACCTCCGATACGTCCACGCCTTGTATAACCTCAAAGTTATATTATGTATAGGTTAAGCCAAAAAATATTTATAAAAACATGAAAATTACAACAAAATTAAGTTGATACGATGTGGATTAAAAATTAAATAAGGGTGATCAACTTAATTTTACAAAATATAAAATTATTGAAACGAAAAACAAAAACTTTAATTTGAGTCACACTCTCTTCCCGACATCTTTGAGCGGACTGAGGATGCGTAGTTGAAAACGGTTGTAGGTTAAGGAAAAATTGAACGTTGGGAAAAAAACGGGAGAATTCGAAAAATGGTTCCCTAATTGAACTTGAATATTTGAGATAAACTTAGCTATTGTAACATTTTTAGAAAAAATTTCTGGTTATTGAATTCGGAGATGTCATTGAGTAGGTTTCCTATATTATCTTTTTTATATTTGTTGGGTTGTATATGGGTTGTTATATCAACATAATGTATTTTCCCATGGCGATTTTGTTATAGTTATAAAATAATAAATAAACGGATAGACACACATAAAACAGTCTATCAAATACTCCATTTTAATTTTTAATATTTTATTATACGATTAATTAATATAGAGTTACAAGTAAATATGCTCTATAATTGGTGACCCAGACTATTTTTAAAAAAGATATAATAGAAAATATATAATAATAACCGTATAAAATCTCTGGTTATTGAATTCGGAGATGTCATTGAGTAGGTTTCCTATATTATCTTTTTTATATTTGTTTATGAAAAATTCCTCATAGAGATCTAGTTTTTTGGATTTATTAATATTTTTAAGGAGTACATTCGGGAAGGAATTCTCATATGTCGACTCTCTCGTTATATACATCTATTGTCCAATGACGGTAAATATAGAAACTTTTTATAATTTTATGATAATTAACTTAAATTGTTACTGCTGATTGAATGGTTGTGTGCATGTAAGTGTTTATATACGTTAGAAGTTTGTTTCGTTTTATGTTCTTTAAGTCTAGATGTTAAATTCGTTCCCGTTTGTCCCACGTATTTACAATTGCATTCCTCACATTGTATCAGATATACACCGCTCTTTTGCATCTCATCGAATTTATGTTTATTGTTGGTAATTATCTGGCTGATTTTTGTGCCTGATAAGAACGCTGGGATGATGTTATATTTCCTAATGTTTTTGTTAAGTTTATTCAAGTTGTGGCTGTAGGGTAAAGTTATGTATTGTTTTTTGGTTTGGAAACTTGGGTAAACTAATTTTCTAATATTATTGTTATGTATATTGTTAATGATATCTTGCATAAAGGTGATGTTATAACCGTTATTAATCCCTATTTTTATAATATTGTTAAGTTCTGTTTGAAAGTTATTTTTATTAAGGGGGGTGTTGTATAATCTGTTGAACAAAAAATTAAATGCAGCTTTTTTATGAGCAGTACAATTGCAAGATTCCCTGGGTATGATACAGTCTGTAGTTGTCGGTTTTCTGTAAATGTCGAAATTGATAAAACCATCCTTATTATTTTTTATGAGGGTAAGATCCAAAAAATTTATACGGTTATTACATTCCTTTTCCATGGTAAATTCTAGATTATTGATGGTGTTGAAAACGTTGAACAAAGCTTTAAGCTTAGCTGGGTTTCCCGTGTAAACTATAAAAATGTCATCTACATATCTTCCATAAAATTTAATATCCTTAGTAACAGTGGAGTATTTGTTTGAGAATAATTTATTTTTTAGGTTATTAACGAAAATATCAGCGATGATACCCGATATTGGGGAGCCCATAGGTAAGCCATCAGTCATAGTGAAAAATTCATTGTTAAAAAGGAAAAAGTTCTGTTTACATATGAATCTGATGATGGAGCAAAGGTCCTTTATGTTCTCGTTTTCAACACCATCAAAATCATTTATGTGACGTGTAAGATGTTTTTCAATAATTTTCAATGACTTATCAATGGGTATGTTTGTGTATAGGTTTTTTATATCAAATGAAATCAAGGTGGTGTTCTTATCAATCTCGACATTTTTTACCTTTTTTATAAGTTCAGCTGAATTTTTCAGTCTGTATTTCATATGTGGTTCAAAGTGTTTGTATAAAAATTTCTGTATGACTTTAGCTATTTTTTCGGTGGTGGTGTTCCTATTACTGATGATAGGTCGTATTGACTGTTCTACTTTGTGCAGTTCGATTAAACTTTTGAGAGTGGGTAGAAGGGGATTCATTACAAGTTTATTGAAAGTGTCGATGTTGAATAAATTTAAGCTATTTCTACATTGTTTCAACAGTTTTCTAAATTGAATGTTAAAATTTGGGGTGGGGTCTTTATTGCATTCTTTTATATTGTTTTGTTTGAAAAATTCATAGGTTTTATCTAAGTATGATTTATGATCTAAAATGACCATCCCAGCGTTCTTATCCCCTAATGTTACGGTAAGATCATTGTCTTCTATTTTTTGTTTCAATGTTCTGATTTCGTTAGATTTTATGTTAATGAAAGTTTTGTTGTTGTTGTTTCTATTCATACCTTTTATTATATGTTCGTTTTCTTGAATTATGTCTTTAAAGTTAGGGTGTTTATAAAGCTGTGATTCTATTTCTATGGCTGTATCAATATTATTAGGTTTATTATGTATTGAAAATTTATGACCAAGATTGAAAATTCTTTTTTCGGGGCTGTTGAAAGTTATTGAACTGAGGTTAACGTGGGGCAAACGGGAAGGTATTATTCAAGTTAATTTTGAAGTGATTAATATTGTCTCTATGAGAAATCTTTCTTACAGTAAACTTACAATTATCTAAATCTATTTGTTTGTTCTCTTTAAATTTAATATCTTTATTGTTGTTGTGATGTTGTAACATGCTTTCATTGTCATGTTTTGTCATCGTCTCACCCTTGTTTTTTAATGTGTTAGTACATCTCTTCTTATTTTTTCTAGTACATCTTCCATCTCTATATATGTTATCTTCTTGGTTAAGATTCTATGTATATATTTGAGGATAGTGTCTATATCGGTTTGTTTGTTATATAAATTTCTAAGTTCTTTTTTCATCAGTCTCTTCTCCAGTTCGAATTTGTGTTCATTTCGATTTTTAGGTACTTTAACTTTGAAGGATTTCGGTGTTAGTTCTCGTTGGATGGCTGTGTGTAAGAAATGTATATAGTCTCTAGTTCTCTCTCGTATTATCATTATGTGCCGTAATTTATGGAGTACCACGGATAACTCCGCTTCTTTAAGTAATGAAAGGGTTTTCTCCAGATTCATCGTTTTCTTATCAGGCACAAAAATCAGCCAGATAATTACCAACAATAAACATAAATTCGATGAGATGCAAAAGAGCGGTGTATATCTGATACAATGTGAGGAATGCAATTGTAAATACGTGGGACAAACGGGAAGGAATTTAACATCTTGACTTCTGAAAAATCCTATTATATACCACATCATTGTATTGTTCGACCAGAGAGTCTTTCTACAAAGCTTAGAGTGGTTTTTGACGCCTCTGCCATAACGTCTAATGGCATATCATTAAATGATACTTTATTAATTGGGCCCAAGCTTCAGCAGGATATCGTAAAAATCTTAATGTCATTTAGATGTTTCAACTATGCATTCATCTGCGATATTAAGCAGATGTATCGGCAAATTTTTATATCCCCTTCTGATCGGCCGTTTCAGAAGATCTTATGGCGGTTCTCTCCTGCAGAACCGATAGAGGAATATTGTTTAAACACAGTAACGTATGGCGTAGCGTCGGCACCTTTTCTGGCTTTACGGACCTTATTGGAATTGGCCAACAAATATGAGAATTACTATCCTAGAGCAGCTACGGTTTTACGCAACCATGTGTCTGTGGATGACATCGTTGCAGGAGCCCAATCGATAAATGAAGCTTTGAAAGTACAGCAAGAATTGATTGATCTATTGAGAAGAGGAAGCTTTGAGCTAAGAAAATGGGCGAGCAATTGTAAAGAAATATTACGTTCTGTGTCCAATACTGACCTTTCAATGCCAATATCCTTGGATTATGATGACACTCATTGCGTAAAAGTGCTTGGATTACAATGGAATCCTACCTCCGATCAATTCCAGTACTCTTTCTCCTCTCGTCAGGCGCCTTGTACCAAAAGATCTATATTATCAGAGATCGCTCGAATATACGATCCCCTAGGGTTTCTTATTCCATGTACCCTCAAAGCAAAAATTTACATGCAGCAGATATGGCAACTAAAAATATCTTGGGATGAAACTCTTCCGCTCCATGTAACTGAAAATTGGAAAACATTTAAAAACAATCTTCCAGTGTTATCCGAATGGAGTTTACCTCGATTAATGATTCCAATTAAAACTCAATCGGTGCAACTTCATTTATTCTGCGACGCTTCTCAACAGGGGTATTGCACAGTTGCCTATTTACGCTCTAAAACTGACACCTCCATAACCACATCTTTCATATGTGCTAAAGCTCGTGTCGCACCTCTGAAGACGATTTCAATTCCTCGTTTGGAATTGTGTGGCGCAGTTCTTCTTGCAGACATGTTGCAAAATATTAAGGAAACATTGTCTCCACTTATAGAATTTAAATCAATTACCGCCTGGTCGGATTCGCAAGTCACCTTGGCGTGGATTGCTTCCACCCCAAGTCGTTGGAAGGTTTTCGTCGCCAATCGTGTGTCTCATATAAATAACATTCTGCCGTCAACTTCTTGGAGATACATTCCCTCGTCCTCTAATCCCGCTGACTGCGGATCTAGAGGCATGTTCCCAGATCAACTAATTGCCACAGAATTGTGGTGGAAAGGTCCCTCATGGCTTAATAAATCCCCAGAATATTGGCCATCTATCAATAAAATTCCTGAAACAGAAGATATTCTACGTGAACAATAACAGAAATTCGTTCAAACTACTGAAATTAAAACTAATATCATTGATATTCTTTTGAATAAATTTTCCTCACTATCAAAAATTCTACGTATCCTAGCATACATTCAAAGATTCCTAAATCTATGTCAAAGGCAAAAGGGATGTTCTGGTATAAACTTATCTTTGTTTGAAGTTCAGCAGGCTTTAACCACTATGCTCCGCCACGTTCAGAATCAACACTTTTCGTCACTGTTCATTTCCATAAAAAATAACCAATTACCCCCTAAACCTCTTCGAAAATTGGCTCCGTTCATTGATAGAGAGGGTTTAATTAGGGTGGGCGGGCGTTTAAAATATGCAGTGATACCATTTGATCATAAACACCCAGTGTTGTTACCAAAAACTAATCGGGTCAGTGAACTGTTGGTGGAAGAACTTCATAAAAAACATCTTCATGTGGGTCAAAGAACCTTACAATCGCTGGTGATGCAACAATATTGGATTCTTGGATCGAGAAGTTTAGTACATCGTGTTGTATCCAGATGTATCCGTTGCGTAAAATGCAAGCCTCGTTCATATGCACCATTGATGGCGGACCTGCCAGCATTTCGAGTAGCTGAAGCTAAGGCTTTTTCCAAGGTAGCTGTGGACTTCGCAGGACCCCTTTATACCACAATCAGTCGATGTAGAGGAGCGAGGTGTATCAAATCTTATATTTCTGTATTTGTGTGTACGTCTACAAAAGCCATACACTTAGAATTGGTTTCAGATCTCTCCACAGAGGCCTTTATGGCGGCTTTGAGAAGATTTACATCCAGAAGAGGTCGATGTACACTCATTCTATCAGACCAAGGAACTAATTTCGTGAGCACCTATAATAGACTTCAAGAAATGGCAAAGATTTCAGGTCAAAGGCTAGAACTCACTGGCAATTCCATCCGCCAGGGGCTCCGCATTTTAATGGATTGGCTGAGGCGGGCGTAAAATCGGTTAAGTCACATTTAATCAGAGTCATCGGAGATCAGACACTTACCTTCGAAGAGGTCTATACAGTTCTTACACAGATCGAAGCTATTTTAAATTCGAGACCGGTTTCGGCGATCACCAAAGATCCAAATGATCTTCAACCATTGACTCCCGCCCATTTTTTATTCCTCGAACCTCAAAATACTTTTGTTTTAGATTTAGATTGTACTCAATTACCCCTCAATCGCTTGGACCGTTGGAAGCTATTACAAAGAATGGTCCAGGATTTTTGGAAACGATAGCACGTTGAATGCTTACATTCGCTTCAACAAAGAAGAAAATGGAACACTCCTGATTCGAGTCCGTCTGTTGGGGATCTCGTCACCATTAAAAATGAATTGCGTCCTCCGATGCAGTGGGAAATGGGTAGAATCGAGGCGCTTCATCCTGGAGTTGACGGCGTCATTCGTGTGGCGACCGTTAACCCTTTCGACCCTAGAGATGTCATCGAGTTTAGTCCTTGAATCTCTACACATGATGTATATTCTCGAGGAAGATGTAATTTCTTTGAGAGTCTTTCAGAAATAAAATTTGACATACTTTCGGAGTCAATTAAAGCATTTACGGTGTGTAGTTTTCCAAATTGATCCGGAGTGTTGACTTGAATAATGGGTAGAATAACCTTGTGAGTTGTTTCTTTTATATTAGAAGACATTTCATGGAAGGATGTCCCGACGTGAACAGATGAAGAACCTTGACCCTTCAGATGTAAGGATGAGTNATATGCAGTGATACCATTTGATCATAAACACCCAGTGTTGTTACCAAAAACTAATCGGGTCAATGAACTGTTGGTGGAAGAACTTCATAAAAAACATCTTCATGTGGGTCAAAGAACCTTACAATCGCTGGTGATGCGACAATATTGGATTCTTGGATCGAGAAGTTTAGTGCATCGTGTTGTATCCAGATGTATCCGTTGCGTAAAATGCAAGCCTCGTTCATATGCACCATTGATGGCGGACCTGCCAGCATTTCGAGTAGCTGAAGCTAAGGCCTTTTCCAGGGTAGCTGTGGACTTCGCAGGACCCCTTTATACCACAATCAGTCGATGTAGAGGAGCGAAGTGTATCAAATCTTATATTTCTGTATTTGTGTGTACGTCTACAAAAGCCATACACACCAGCCATACACTTAGAATTGGTTTCAGATCTCTCCACAGAGGCCTTTATTGCGGCTTTGAGAAGATTTACATCCAGAAGAGGTCGATGTACACTCATTCTATCGGACCAAGGAACCAATTTCGTGGGCACATATAATAGACTTCAAGAAATGGCAAAGATTTCAGGTCAAAGGCTAGAACTCACGTGGCAATTCCATCCGCCAGGGGCTCCGCATTTTAATGGATTGGCTGAGGCGGGTGTAAAATCGGTTAAGTCACATTTAATCAGAGTCATCGGAGATCAGAAACTTACCTTCGAGGAGGTCTATACAGTTCTTACACAGATCGAAGCTATTTTAAATTCGAGACCGCTTTCGGCGATCACCAAAGATCCAAATGATCTTCAACCATTGACTCCCGCCCATTTTTTATTACTCGAACCTCAAAATACTTCTGTTTTAGATTTAGATTGTACTCAATTACCCCTCAATCGCTTGGACCGTTGGAAGCTATTACAAAGAATGGTCCAGGATTTTTGGAAACGATGGCACGTTGAATACTTACATTCGCTTCAACAAAGAAGAAAATGGAACACTCCTGATTCGAGTCCGTCTGTTGGGGATCTCGTCACCATTAAAAATGAATTGCGCCCTCCGTTGCAGTGGGAAATGGGTAGAATCGAGGCGCTTCATCCTGGAGTTGACGGCGTCATACGTGTGGCGACCGTTAAAACAACACGTGGTCACGTGACTCGACCGTTGGTGAAGATTTGTCCGTTGCCCACTTAAATTGAAATACGTAACTTACATTTAATGTCGATTAATTTCTGGTTAACTAATTACCAATTATCATTACTTACCTGTTTATTTCCATGTTCATTTAACTAAAACTTTCACGCTATTATAAAAAAAAAAAAAAAATATCTATATTCCTGTACTCTGTTTATATTTTTGTTGGTGGGCGGAATGTGTGAGCGCCATCTTTTGGGCGCCGGTAGAAATTGAACGTTAAAAGGATAAAATTGGATCGATCTTTTGGATCGATCTCTTATCGTCGCCACCCTCAATGCGATAACACGCGAGTTGTTAGATTTTGTAATTTGTGAAAGTAAAACCTTTGTGTGATTTGGGGAAGGGAAAGAGAATTAAAAACTAATATGTCAATTTTTAACATAACCTAAATTTAATAAAAATTGCTAATTTTTTAAAACATCGCCTTGATCATAGTTTTAAGAGTTAAGAAACGATTTATATCTTAAATTGGTGATGAAACTCTCCTTTTTAAAATGGTGTGTAATTCTATATATCTTTGATTATAAATATTTTGAGAAAAAGATTAAAAACTGATACATTTTTAAAATATTGCTTTGACCTTTCCTCTTTAAAATGGTATACAACTCTAAATATGTTGGATAATAAAATTTAGAAAAGAAATAAGAAGTAAATGTAAAAAAATGTAGGATTTAATGAATTTGTAATGAAATTTAAAAGTTTGTTAAGAAATGAGATCTTATTCAAAGTTGAGGATTTGTGGAAATCCGATTTAGAGATGTTCACTCTGTGTGCATTTCAGTGATTTCACTCCAAGACAAATGTCGTATAACCACAATCCAAGTTTCCCGGGATGCGCAGGAGTTTGGTAAAGTAAAATTTGATCAGAGCATCTGGTTCCGGGTCAAAGGCCAATAGCTCTAACGAGGTGCTAATATCGTCGACGGCGACGAAAACCCACTATTTCGTTATTGCGGAAGGATCGCGAAAGATAATTAAAAAATCATAATCTCGGGAATTCTAATTGAGCGAGGGGTAGTTCTAATTGAGCACGTTCCGAAGAAACTTGCTTTCAACCCGTGAATTATTTCTATTTAATTTTCGGAGTCGTTGCGGCATTTTTTTTCCCTTTTTTCTGCGAGTGGAAATTGCGCGCGTTGCGACTCGTTGCTGCGGTCGTAAATTTCCGGGGAAAAAGTATAATTTCGGGGGATGGTACGCGGAATAGGGGTGTGCACTTTAAATTTACTACGAAATACGGTACTCAATTGCTTTCACACATTAACCAACAACAAAAAAATAATTCCCTTTTGATGGACCATTTAAAACAGTCTTGAAAAGATGATTTGATGAAAAAAATTGTGCACAACATATTTGTGCCAAAAAATGTTATCTTTTTATGGTTATGTGTCAGTAAGGTCTTAAAACTAATAAAGGTGCACTTTAGGTAAATAGGGTTGTTCTAAAAGGAGACGACCGTACATAATAATATTACTTCATAAAAGGAATTACCATAAGTATGGAGAGGAGAGAAGAGTAGAAATGGCCGTCTAAGTAGTTTTAATCGCGATGTAAACACCTCTTCTCCGTCCGCCTTTTTCGTAATCGTCGTGAAACTTGCTACTAAAGAGAAAGGGGATTCTTTTAAATTGCGTCTCGTAAATCGCATTACGCGCTAAACCTGTCCGAATTGGAAAAGTTTCCTGCGTTTAATAAGAAAGCTCCGGCACTCGACAGAGTGTGGGAGGGGAGTCCTCGGTTCTTCTTTGGCGGGCGCCTCCACGTCGTAAATTGAAACCGGAGCAGGTAATCTATCATCGCTGCATATTGCACCGAAGTGCGCGAAGAAATTCCTGAATTTCTTCGTGGGATAAATACCAAAAGCCGTTTTCGCCCTGATTTAGGCTTCTTGAGACGTCGAAAGCACAACGGCTCTCGTCTTTATGTCGTTATCGCTCGCGACGTCTTACACAGAAGGCCATCCTGAGTATAGCGAACCTCCAAAACACACCCAATCCTCAATCCCGTCTCCTCTTTCTCCTTGTATACGGAAGGGTGTATTTCGAAACGAAAATTCCGTATATAGATATAATATATATTGTGTTTATACCGCGGCGAGGACCTCCTGGTGTCACAGGCAGCGAGCTTTTTTCGGGGAGGACGCTTATAGCATCGCGACGGCGACACAGACATTGTTCGTCGGAAAAATATGGCCCTTTTAAAGGTGGAGTGGCGCCCTTCCGTATCAATAACTGTCACGGACGCTGCAGCCTGTGTGCGAGGACAGGCCCCCGTTACCGCCTCGGCGTCCTCCTCTGATTTATTAAAATAGAAACGTTAGTTACGGGCACGAAGCTTTTTCGACATCCCAGCATCCCTTCTTTCTTGTTCATACTCGAATAACCGAATAATTTATCACGCTTTTCCTTGCGACTTACGTCTATTTCAATTAATTAAAAACAAACGAAACAAAAAATAGCCCCATAAAATGAAGCATAAAGAGAAGTGTCAACGATATCAAAGGCATTTAAAAGATTTAATAAACATCCAGGGAACGCGAAAAATAACCAATATCGAATAATATAGTTTGAAAATAAAAGTTGTCCGATTCCAATGAAATTTATAAGCTATAAATTTATGGCATTCTCGTTACGTTCCTGACTTTACGCCGGCCATAAACAGGCAAACCCGAAAAGCCTGCGGGAGTTCTTGTTCAAGTATACAGACATCGGAATGGTGGAAATGCGGAACGATTTAATTAAAAAAAATACGATGACCGGAAAACGACGCTTAGAGTTGAGTCGAGCCGCGCCGCGTCGCGGAAAAAGTTGTTACACAGTAAATTTCAATTACTCCGTTTTCCTGGTGCGATATATAAATTGAATACCGGAAGCTGCGAGATGCCGCGTAGCAATTCGTATCCAATTAAAAAAGCAGTTAAAAAACAAAACGAAAGTTAAT